AAAAAAAAAAAAAAAACCAACGGCACACAAATTTAGTACATGAAACATTTTTATCCGAACAAAAAGAATCAAAAAATGGGAAATCACGAAAAGCTTACTGTTGGGATATATACAGCTGAGCTTCGCAGCTAGCCGTCGATTACTGTCGGAAGACAGTTTTATTGAGTAGACTGTGTTGACTATGGAAGCCATTGCATATAATCAAGTGAGCTTCAAATTTCCGATGATTTCCTTGTGATAAACTCTGTATTTTGGACAGAAGGCAGAGGTTGTACTCCGGTGCTTTCGGCTTATAGTTGGATGGTCCATCTTTACCCTTTCTCTACTCTAGTGCAAAATTTACTCTTAATCTAGAGTAGAGTTAACCAAAAATCAACTTTCGTCTCTAATTGTTCGCGCTACATTTTACTCCACAAAATATTTTTTTATTCTCATTATTTAAAATTAATTTAGTATTTCAAATATAATTTAATTAGATATATTGTTTTACACACATTCCTTTTAAAAAAAAAATATATTATCAATATATAATTAATAAAATATAAATAGTACAATAATATTTATATAAAGAATATTATTTACTAAAACATGTATCAAGTATAAATATTATATTACTAGTACAACACCCGTGTATTACACGGGTGCTTGCTAATTTTTTTCTTAAAATCTAAAATTAATAAGAAAAAAGTAGTTTTCCGAGCAGAAAGTCAAAGCAAGTTGACGCTCGGCCGACTTGCTTTAGTTGCTGACTTTCTTGCTTGCTTTGATTTTTCAATGCTCGTCCTCTCCCATCCCAGAAATCCCCCTTTTCTTTCTTTTTCTTTCTCGAGGGCCCTTCTTCACTCACGCGATATTGCTGGATCGGGCTTTCGCCCATTGTCAAAATTTAAATACCTTTTATAAGAATATATATATTATTATATATTTATTGTGACACTTTTTATTTGTGCGACTTACTTGTGTTATATTATACTAATTTTTTTTAACTTACAATATATAACTAAATTACATATAAATATATCAATTGAGAAATAATTTTACTTTTATAATGAATTTTAATAAATATTATTATTTTTTATTATTATAAAGATAAATATAATTTATTTATTTCATATATACAATATGGATGTCAAATCGAAAATCATCAAAAGATGATTAATTTGATATATTATATATGTAAAACAGATAAGAAATACAAAAGTTATCAACTTTTAAAATATTTATAATTCAATAGCTATTGAAGGAAACAAATCAAAATTCAGGGATATATTAGTCACTTATTGCCTCACTATGTAAAATTACAAAAAATTAAAGGGTTATATTAGTAAAAGTGATATTAAAATACCTAAGTTAGCTAAATAATATTTATGGAATACCCGAACCTAGATGATTAATTATTAATATATCAATATTATTCATCCAAACCTAATTACGAAGCATGATTCTTCGTCAAATAGGATTCCGAAGCACCAGAAGCAGCCACGTAGGCTCAGCGCATTCTGAAATTATATATAGGGAGGATATAGGGAGGATTTACTAGAACATGTATCAAGTATTTACTAAAATATCACAAATTTACTAAAATATTAACTAAGATTTAAGTCAAAGTTTAATTAAGTCATTGAAAATAAATTCTTTGTGTTAATCTTGTTCATCCAACAATTTACCACATATATTTTTCTATTATAAATAAATTTGTTAAATGAAGATGTGTATTATGTTGAAAACAAAAAGTGTGATTATTTTTTATTCATATGATTTTACTTTAATATTAAAAAATTACAAATAAAATTATAGTTTATCAATATATATTTCATAAACATGATAAACACTCTTATTAATACAAGTACAAAAATTTATATAAAAGAAATAATAGAAAAAGA